ACCAGTGGTGGGATTCAAATATGTGAACAACCGGTTCTCTGTGTGGATGCCGCTTCCAGAAGTCCATTCTGGGCCTGGGCAACAAAAAATTAGCTACCAGTTCTGCCAAAGTGGTGCAAACGAGCTGAATCCCACCACTGCTTAGGACTGAGATCACTTTTGTGAAAGTTGATGATGCCTGAACAAAGCATAAATATCACTACTCTAAAAACTTAGTTGTCCAGGGACAACGCTATTGTCAAGAGCCAAAGTAGTCATTGGGGCTATTTCTCTTTTCCCATTTTTTTTCAGAGCAGATGCAAATTACTCTAAAACTGACTCCAATATTGATTCAGTAGCCAACTAAAAATAGCCACTGCTATTGTTACAGACAAAAATACTGTAGTTTTTACAAAGCATTGGAGTTTAGAGATGTCAACATGTTGCAGTATCTACCTGACCTTGGCTATGTCAACAGGGTTGACCTGGTGCATAGATGGATGCACCAGGAAATCCTCAAGCTAGATTCGGAAGTTAAAAAGCATCCCATAAAAAGAAACATTAAGTCATTTCCCTATTGCTGCTAACAAAATTGCATGGATATGACTTGTGGTCCCTAGGAGTTGAGTTCTATTCAAAGGAAATTTTAATGGATTAGAGGAGGTGCCATTGCTTCCTATTAATTTTCTGGATTCTTCATATCAGAGAACATAAAGTGGTACGGAACTTTCCAGGTGATCACGAATCATGTTATTCATGCTCCTGCAATCCATCAATCATCTACACGAAGCAACTAGTCCTGGTATTTACAGTTAAGAAATACTAATACACTTAACTGTTCTTTATTGTAAAAAATAAAACCCTCAAAAAAACGCCTGTCCCAGGCTCTAGGCATGTTTAGCTTAAGCAGCTTAGAGGTCTTTATATCAATCTGCCGCATGCACAGAGTTTGGGGGCATTACTCCTCATGCACAGAAGGAATGCAGGGAAGAAGTATGAGAAAAGGGCTAGAGAACTTTGAGAAAGGGATTAGGTTTTAAGGAAATTAAACTCCTAGAATACTTTTTATAGTTAAATAGATGGCACACACATACTCATTTCAATCTGTTTCTATTTTATTGGGGAAATTGGCTTGACTGTTGAGGGATGACTTTCACTTTGACATAAGTAATTTTTTTGCGCAAACTACCAATTACTGTTTCTGTGCTTATGGCACACTTTTACATGGATGTCAGCTCCCAGGGGCTCACTTCTTATCCAACTGAATGCAGAGGACAATGATAGAGGATTATGTATAACCCCCAAGAATTCTACTCTGTCACTGTTAAAACTTTATATGAAGCTCCTATGAGAAATCAATTATGATTTTGAGGTGAAGATTTATGGCATGTCACTGTAATCCAATGCTATTTTCTTTTTTTTATTGCTAGCAAATCAATCTCTAGACACTCGAGTCTAGTAACTGTCTACTGACAGAGTCCACTGGAGATGGGCAGCCAATATGTTCATGTTTCATTTGTAGTCTTCCAGAACTCCTAAATCATTCTCACAAGTATTACAGCCAAACCAGGTAACATGTATCTTGTTTCTGCACATTTGATTCTTCCTATCCAAACATAGATGCCTACATTTTCCAACTGAACTACACTTTATTGGATAAGGTCCAATATTCAAGATCATTTGAAGACAGTCGTTTTTAGGCACTAGCACCTCTGCTCAGCTTTCAGTAATCTGCAAATTTGATGAGCGTCCATTCTATACCTCATCTAAGTCATTTATGAAATTGTTGAAGAATGCTAGATCCAAGACACAGGATTTCTCCTTCCATGTGGACACAGAATTATTAAGAACATGTGCTGGATACAGTTGTTCCATTAGCTGTGAATCCATGATAGTGGGACCATCAGCTCTGATAAAATTGTTCCATTTTATCAAAGAGGAGACTATAGTCAACTTTGTCAAACACTTTGAAATCTAAGTAAACCACATCCAGAGTGTTCCTTTGGTCTACTGAATATAAAAAAAGAGATAGTTCAGTAAGATTTGTCTGCCATGACCTGTAACAAACCTATGTTGGGTTCTAACAATCACTTTGTTTTTTTCAAAGTGTTTGTAAAGTTTCTTTTTTCAGGATTTTCTCAGATACTTACTAGTCTGCAGTTTTGTTTTGTTTTGTTTTTGGGTCAGCTTTTTTTTTTTTAAAAGATGGAAAAACATTAGTTCTTCTCTAATCTTGATACTTCTGATTCTCAACAATTACACTCAGTGATTTTAAGATTACCAACTACTTATCAATTCTTTAGTATCCTTTGTATGCAATGTGTTCTCTCCTTAGTTCTTTACCTATGTTGACCTGTATTTCTGTTCTATCGTTTACAGTATCACCTTCCCAGGTGGGAACACACGTTTTAATGTGAAAAAGCAAGATACAAAATAGAAATTAAGCAGCACAAGCTTCTCCTTGCTGCCTATCACCATTTCATCACATTCTCTTACCAACAGACTAATTGATATTCACTTGGATGGCAGAAGTATTATATAAACTGGCCACTGCTGCAGAGGCTATCCCAAACCAGATGATTATTCTTCAGCTGTTTTATTAGCATGTTAAATTTGAACTTCACACTTGCAAAACAGAAAAATCCATTCCAAACCATAAAGAATCATCTATTGGAAAACAGGTTTTTGAGCTAGCTCTAAATCAAAAAAAGCTGAAATTTTTCAAAACAATAAAAGCCAAAGTATTAACACAGCTAAGCTATTAATCTCATTAAAGTGTTTTTTTCCCCAAAAAAATCCAGTTCTGGGTGATATCCAAAAATCATCAGTGTGGAAAAACTTGGAGCAATTGGAAATCCATTTTTCATTTTATTAACCACTTTTAATAATTCCCTAACTACTTGATGACTGCAGTAACAACTTGAAATATGGCCTGTCCCTCAAGAAGTATTTAATTTTATTAATTACAAATCACTAAATCATCATGTTTTCCTCTATTTTTTGAGGCACCATTCCAGAATATGTAAGACTGGAGATATTTAAAATTCAATTAATTGAAAAAGCAGCTGAAAAAATAACATTTTTTCTGTTGTCTATGACTAAGGCAGTGTTCTTCAAATTAGTGCCCTTTAGAAGTTGAAATCTGAATACATCCAGAAGCAACCAAATTGGGAAAAGCTCATTATGTAATCCAAACTCAACTCATTTAGGTGTCTTCTAGCACTGATCAGGAATATTGTTCTGCATAGAAAATGGGACACATATAATTAAATCCTTCTATTCCCCACCATCCCCAGTCAGAGCTGAAGAAGCTTCTTGGATGAAAAGTAAAATGTCTTCAAAGAAAAACAAGAAAGTCCGGTTGCTTCATGAAAAAAGCATCTTTGGGTGGCTACTAGGTGCATACTGGAAGGCCCAAAATATTTCAAAATGACACCTGTGAATCTCAGTTAAAAGTTCTAAACTTTATGTGGTAGAAGTCATTAAGCAGTCACTAAGTCAATTCCAGACAATATATTCTCTTCCCCACTTTCTTTTTAGGGCCTCTTCACTTCTATTTTTATTTTCATCAACCTGTTGTTGGCAATGTGTCCCACACACACCTTCATTTCCTTCCTGGCTTGCTTGGACTGGACCTAGCTATCAAGTAGTTTGCATGTCAGAAGAAAGACAAACCAGGTGAAGAATAGGGAAGAAGGCAGAAGGAAGACGATACTGGGAAATATGTTAAAAAGTTTGCTTAATACTAAAATGAAAAGAAGTCTTTATTGCAAGCAAATCCATAAAACCATCAGTAAATTTAATAGTTGACTACTTCAGGCTTCCAGTGTGATTTTTCAAGATGCTCCCGAGAATAATAAAATGAAAAAAGGCATTTGCAACTATAATACCATGCAAAAAACAAAAGGAATACTATAAACTATCCTAATCCACATTCAAGTATGTCTGATTACTCAGTTACAGGATCAAAGTAAACCCATTCCTCCTGCATGGAACTAAATAAATGGGTCCTAGTGTGTTAAAGCAGACCACATAAAGTGTACCAATGAAATATAAACAAAACAAACTGAAATAGAAAGCATATGTCACAACGCACACACTTGACCCCGTTCCTGGTTATTTCCTGGTTTTGGTTTAATCCATCCCACTTTATTAGTGCCTTTGGTTACATAAACTAATACTTATACTGCATGTTGCTATGAGTTTATAAAATTAAGAACATTAGGAAGTTACAAAAAAACGTCATCTCTAACAGATACTTCTCCTTAATTTTTTATCCCTTAGTATTTCTCTGTAATTAACAAGAATGAGCAGACAGCAAAGAGGTGGTTAATTTTATAAACTTTAAAAAAAAAACATCCAGTCAAATCATAATTAATTATAAAAGGCAGCAACATATAGGAACAATCTATCCCTGGCCACAAATGGACTACAAAGTATGTCATCTAACTATTAAATCACATTGCATGAAAAAGCTGCCCAATTAGATCTGCAATACACTAGGTAAGTTTCCAAATCAACAAAGCTATGAAAAGGTATAATAAGATCCATCTGGTGGGCGCCATTTTGGGGAAAGTTGCTGTACACAACTACTTGGGAGCAAGTGTCACTGAATTCACGGTATTTCTGAACACATGGACATAGATTTGGGCTGTAATAAGTCCTTGCAGTTTATTAACAAAATCTTATCTTACATTATTACAGAACAAGATTCTGTGTAGGGTGTTTCAAAAGTTCATTCCTCTGTTCTACCTCTTCAGATACAGTCTATGTTTCAGCATATGTGTATTTAGAACAGGGGTCTTCAAACTCGGCCCTTTTATGACTTGTGAATTCCTCAGCACGCTGGCTGAGGAATTCTGGGAGTTGAAGTCCACAAGTTATAAAAGGGACAAGTTTGAAGACCCTTGATTTAGAGAAAAGGAGCCTCAGTACTTAATTTGCAAAAATAAAGGAAATCACTCAATATCTCATAGTTAAGCAAAGCCAGCTTTCGTCAGAAAGAAAAGTGTTCATTTTACCTCCTGGGCAGTGTCTCAAGGCCATTTTGCATCTTCTGGACTCTGCAATGGTGGGATATGGTATCGTGTCTTTTGCTGGCTTTTTAACAATTTGCCTTGTTCTTGTTTCCAAACCCCACTTAAATCCGCAGTTCTTGTTATTTGTGCTGCAAACTGCCCACTCGCTCCAGGGGCCCACTTGGTAACCTACTGGAAAAACCAACACACACATACACTAGTTAGTATTCTTGTCTTCTAATGTTTGCACCTTCCAGAATATATGACCCTGGGGCGAAAAAAATGAAAACACGCAAACTTTTCATTAGGTTTACTCCCTAGCTAATAAAGAATTCAAGAGAAATTGAAAGCGTAATTATTATTTATTAATATCTGGATAGGCTTAACATGGATTGCACAGCTATCTTCTAAATCTCTCATTTATTAATTTTTAAAGAAAACAAGAAATATAGCCAAAATATAATTCAAATTATTCAGATTAACTGAAATAATTCATCTTATCATCAGACATACTTTATGGGAATATTTTAAAGCACTAACTCAAAGTAAAGCAGAAAAATTCTAGAATTAACTTCATTGAATTATTCTGATTAATTGATTTCAAGCCTTTACTTGAAACCTTGGAAAAAATTAGATGCAACTTAAGAAGGATATACTTGATGCAAAACTAATTTATATGCCACAATTCTTCAATTTCAAATCTTAGAAAATGAAAAATAAAATTGAACACTAAAGATCTTCATATACTTGGGCAAACATTAAATTTCAGCCGTGCTTGCTAATTAGTGTTAGTAGGTACTAACACCTGTTATGTAATTTTCCAATTTTCTCAAAAACTTGCAGCCAAAAAAGGCACTTAATAACCATTTTTACCAACAAAATCAGGACAGAATTCAGTTACTATAGTGAACATTCATATGGAATGTATTAGCATATACGAAATACTTTTAATAGCCATCTCTAGATGACTTCCTAATAAAGATTTAATATAGTTTACTGTTATCACAAATAATGTCTTAACAATAACAAAGAAGATTATTTTATAGTAATTGGTTACTTTGCAATTTAAGAAATATTTTGTTCTTTCAAGTCTATTTTGACTCCTGGCGATGATTCCCTGCAGTTTTCTTGGCAGTATCTTAAATTGTGAGCCAATTTGTTATAGTAGTAAAAAGCTCCAGGCTATAAAACAGGAGATAATAAATCCTAGCTTCACCTTAGTGACAAAACCAGCTGCGTGACCTTGGCCAGTCACTTCTCGCAGCCTCAAGAAGGTGGGAATGGCAAGCCATTTCTGAAAAATACTGCCAAGAAAACTGCAGGGATTCATTGCCAGGAGTCAAAACCAACTTGAACGAATGAAATATTTCTTAAATTGCAAAGTAACCAAACACAGGAGTCTTCAGGAGTCTTCAGAGCATCTTTATGATTTATTTGGAGAAATGCCATCAGGTTTCAAAAACAGATATTTCCCTGGGACCCATTATTCTAGATTTATTAACAGACAGATGAATTGTGTTGTTTAACTTTATTATAGCACATTAGCCATTTCCATTTAGCTTATGCACCGAGCAATAGCCAACATTTTAATGCAGTGAGATAATGGATAAACGTATAAACCTATATCAACATCCAGTTAGATTTTGGACTATTAAAAGATAATTATTTTACTTAAAAAACATACATACATACATACCAACATGTTTGTCAATAATTCAAAGAATGCAAAAGAAAAGAATTGTGATTCTGATATCCTTGCTTGAAAATGATCTACCATTCTATCAATAGCTGATGACCTTATTTGTATAGCAAACACACAACATGGCATAAAACTACTCTAGGATTATACGTAATTACTTTTATACAGGAAAAAGGAACTAGTGTGTGTATGTGTGTGTGGAGTTTCTCTGCTGGCAATAGGGAAGGCTGTTCTTAGACTTCTTTTCATGCTAATACTATTTTCATAGTAGAAAGCAAGCACTGACATTTTACAGATACAGGTAGTCCTTGTTTAGTGACTATCTTAGACAGCAACCATTCACAATTGTAACAGGGATGAAAAAGTAACTTCACTTGGTTGAGAGATATGTTAATATTGGCTTAGAGTTAAAACCGGAACTATTCTTGCTGGGAATAACTACAGAGAAATACAATAAGGGAACAATCTATTTGCTGTTACACATCTTGACTGCAGCTAGGCTTGCATTTGCGCAAAAATGGAAGAGCAAAGAAATCCCCACAGAGGAAGAGTCACTATATAAAATATTAGCATGTGCGGAAATGGACAGGCTTACAATGGTTTTGAAAGACAAATGTGGATCAGTTTACTTCGAAACCTGGGATAAATTTTATCGCTGGAAAGATTCGAGGAGGACGGTTGGGATTAAAGACTAGCGTTAAGATAGAAATATATGTTATTTTAGAATAAGTACAGTATATAAAACTTAGATGTATATTCAGAGATGAAGAACTGATTGTAAAATGTGGAATAATTTGATAAGAATGTATATACTGGAATGTCACGTTATATCCAATGTTTTTTTAATTGTATTATAAATAAAACTTTGTAAAAAAAAGAAAGAAAGAAAGAAAGAAAAAGTATCTTCACAATCAATGCCTGCATTTACAACAACAAAAGCCTTCAGTGTAAAACTGACTAAGATCTGGTCAGTTTCAGGAAGCAGCTGAAATACAAAAGGGTTGTAATCAACTAATTAAAGCAACACAGGGATAAGCTTGTTAACTAGCAGTTAGCACTTTTAGGGGAGCAATGCACTGTGAGAAAAGTAGCTTGGGAAAAGATATTTTGTTTAAGCAATCTCTCCACCCTGCGAGGGAATAAAAAAGAAAAAGAAAAAAAATAGTCAGGCACAGAAGTTTATCTGAATAAGACAGCAGCAATCAGCAATCTTCACAGTCTCTCTCTCTCTCTCTCTCTCTCTCTCTCTCTCTCTCTCTCTCTGCCATACGGTTTACTTAGTGACTGTGTCACTTACAGACCATTTCACAAAAATCAGTTATGGTCACTAAACAAGAACTCCCTATAAATGGCAGCAGATTATATATAAACAGTCTCTATAATTTTTTCAGATGCAGAAAATATAATAGATTCAAAAGGTTATATATAAGGTTAGGATGCAGGATTAGAGAATAGAATAGAATAGAATAGAATAGAATAGAATAGAATAGAATAGAATAGAATAGAATAGAATAGAATAGAATAGAATAGGACACTGAAGAAATTTGTCTCCAGTGCATAAGCTTACAGTGTACATATAAACAGCAAGTAATAGGTCATAGATCATAAATCATAGTTACAATCATTAATCATAAGTTACAAACAACAATTGATAAATCATAAGAAACCAATAGGACAAGATAGTAGGAAAGATGAGAAAAGATGAGAAGATGAGACAGTGCTGTAAGGATTAAATATTCAGCAGAATGATGGCACAGGGAAAAAAATTATTTGTGTCTATTTGTTTTGGCATAATATAATATAAGAAGGATAATATAGCAGAAATAATGTGTAAGTACTCACCCACACATTCCATAGTTTCATCTAAACGGACCAAACCATCGGGACATTCCCCAAAGCAACGGCCTCGGGAGAGAGAAAACCCAGGTTTGCATTTGGTGCAAAAGTCTTGACTGAAACAAGAATCACAGTTCTCTATTCTGCATCCTGAAGAAGAAAAATACATGCATTTGAGTTTGGTAACTTACGAAACAAAATAATGCAGAAGGGAGCAAGACGTGAATATTTAGCTGTAGTCTCTCAAATTATAGTTATAGGACTTTTCTCAGAATCTCTAGCCAGCAAGCCCAAAGGGAATGCTGGGATTTAAGAATCTCCAAATATCTAGAACAGTGTTTTATCAAACTTGGCAACTTTAAGATGAATGGCCTTCAACTCTCAGAATTCCTGGTATGCTAGGGAATTCTGGAAGTTGCTGTCTAGGGAATTCTGGAAGTTGAAGTCCACACTTCTTAAAGTTGCCAAGTTTGAGAAACACTAAGCTAGAACATCAGATTGGAGAAGACCGATGGACTGGATACTTCAATCAGATTTCCCATTCCCAAGTGACTTGAATAATACTGGAGTTTGCCCAACTCATAAGTGCTTACATGACTTAAATATGTGTGGCAGTTCTTCCAGATTTATTTTACCCTATAATAAATGCACAGATGGTTCACACATTTCAGATTACATGTGTGGAACAAATATCTTATTCCTTTTCTCATAGATATCCTTTTATAAACATTTCATGCACACCCCGCATGGATGCATCGTTGGTTTTTTAAAGCCCATTAAAATCAATAGGTTTTTTTTAAAATCATCCATATGCAGAATATATGTAGACATTTATAAACAAAGGGATGGGAGGAAGAGTTAACCCTTTCCTGCATGCAGTTGTCACAATATGCATTAGGCAACTTGTTCTTAAATATAGATGAATATAAGTTATGTTTCCTAACCTGTTGTGTGGTTTAACTTTTATAATTTGAGAGGGATTTATGGCTCTGTGTTGCTATATCCCATTATAAATTACTTTTAAAAGTGAAGCATATTGCCAAAAATTTGTGGAAACAGGCCATGTAAATCAGAAAGTGTTGTCTATAATGCCCATTGTACAAATTATGTACTTTGGCCTTAGTCTCTTGATGTAAAATTATTTTTGATGTTTAAATTCAATTTTGTTGAATAGGATGAAGAGAATATTGAGGCAAACACTGATAAAATGTGTAAAATAAATACAGGATTTGCAAAAATAAGAAATGTTCCAATCTGATAAACTTTGGCAGGAAGAAGACAAGAGATCAGGTTTTGCAACAAGGCTGAAGATCCATGATACATGTGTGATTGTGTTTAAAGAAATTCTGATTAAAACATTGTATAAGAGAAAAGAGTACTTTTTGAGTGGTCAACTAAAGCAGAAAAAGATTTCATTTTGATGGGACAAATTGAAAGGTGATATCTTTACTTCTAAACACCCAAGATTCTGATTGAATTCTGTCCAGAAATTGAGAGAATTTCTAGAAAAATTCAAAGAACTCAAGGAGATTCACAAGGAGATGTTAGATGAGGCTACACAAAAACCACAGCAGATGCAATAGGAAATTGAACGGTATGATACTGGACAAAGTGCTAAAAGTATTGACTTTTCTAAATGTTCAGCTTGATTACTACGAATGCTTAATGTGCAACATAAATGGAGCAAATGCTCATAAGAGAAAAAAAATCATTATTTAAAAAATAAAATAAAACATAATTTGCCTACAAGAGACACATACTAGAAAAATGGGCATAACCTGTTTAACTTGTAAAAATTTGGGTGAAGATTTTGGTAGGAAGTAAAAAAAGAAATAGAATTGTTTTGTAAATAAACTTCCAACTAAAACCAAACTTGTATTGAACAATAACCACCGAAGATTTTTTTATGAAGAGGTTGCATGGAGCTAAGGCTCTGATATTGGGAATTTATGCCTCAAATGAGGGCAAAGTGCAGTTCTATAAAGGACTTATGGAGGATTGCAAAAAGAAATCAAAATAATTATTTAAAAATAACTTAGATAAAGTTACTGTTTTACAAATTATTTGGAAGTTATTAATAGCAAACTCAAAAAAGAAGAGGTAAGAGAAAAAAACTTTTTTCAAATCAGGTAAAGTTTAAAGAAGAATTAAAGAAATTTTTAGGCAACATAAGTATTTCTCAGCAAATTAAGCTTATACAATGTCAGCTATCTATGTTAACTGTAAGAGAAATGGAAATAAAAATGAATTCTATAATGCAAAAGAAAATAGAGTTTGTACACAAGCCAAGGAAGTGGAAAGCATATGAAATACAAAAAGCAAATGCTACTGAAATTATAGGAGGGAGATGGTGTATTAACAGATAATGTGGCTATGCAAAAAAGCATTTCAGCAATATTATTCCAATTTGTCTAAAGGACAAGATATTTCTCTGGAGAAAGTAAACGAATATTTAAAGAAGCAAAATTTACTGAGGGATACAACCATTTTATTTGATTGGTTGAAAAGAGTTTGCAAGAATGTATTTCTGAGCAACAATGTAGATTTATGGCCCTCAGCACAAGAGGCAATTTATAGACAAGAAATAATATGCAAACACAAATGGCTAAAATATCACAATATACTAGAGTTTTGCCAAGGGGAATACAAAATAAAATCAAGAGAACAATTGGTGGCAGAAGGATATAGTTACCAAAGGTTTTCTTATTTACAGTTACCAGAAAGAATTAAAGTAAACAAAAGAGTTCATTGCACTGAACATAGTAAGACTCGGTATGAAATAGAATTGTGTACAAATGATGAATATGTGATTGCTAAAATGTATACACTATTATTGAAATATGAAACAGAAGAAAAACAAGTGAAAGAATTGATAAAGTGGGCTAAAAATTGTGGATATAATGTAGAGATTGAACAATGGGAAATTATGTGTTTCAAAGGATTTAAATTTACACCATGTTATCTTAAAGAAAACTTTTATCAAATGTACCATTGCACTGTAGAAATTGTCTAGAATGTATAAAGGCACTTCAAATTGATATTAGAAGTGTGAACGAAAAGAGTCATTTTATCATGCTTTGTGGAGATGTAAAAAAAAAGTTAGAAAATTTTGGATGCAAATACTGACTCAGAGGATTTTAAAGATTATTATATAATTGAAACCAGAAGTCTTTCTCATGGACTGATGGACAAACGGTTGGGGAAAAAAGTGATGGAAATTGGTTTTTGTATATGATAAGTTCAATGAACTTATTATTGTATGCACAAAAATGGGAAAAAATGAACAATACCTACACTGGATGAATGTTTGGTGAAAATGATAGAATTTGCTGAGATGATCAAACTGACTTGTTTGATTAGAGAAAAGAAAAACATGAATGTAAGTTTTTGATTATTTTTCTTTTACTTTTTCTTTCCTTCTTACACTTTTAGCTTCTCTTTGATTTTTTTCCCTTTTTCTTCCTCATTAGTTTGTACATATAGACACAGATAAGCTACTTATACTGTATATAAAAGAATAGCAATAACTGTAGATGAATGTTATAGAAGTTGATTTTGCATGCTGGCTAGAAAGTAGGGATTAAAGTGAGGTTTTCCAGGTTTTTCATAAACCGATGTCACCACTTAAGATTTCAAATAGTTATTTGAGGAAGACTGAACAAAGACAGAGCATACAGCTATACACTTAAGTATTTTGTTTGGAGAAAAACATGACTTATTGATAGGAGGCTATTGCATATAAACTTGACCATGATTTGTTAGTGCAATCATATATAATGGTACCAAAGTTCTAATCCTATTGAGTTTAATGAGATATATTTTGATGCAGACAGAGATAGAACTACAAAACACATTTACATAAATGGATAACTTTCATAAGTTTGTTTCAGTGTTTAAAGAATTTCATCAAAATAATCCAAACATTTGACATTATAATACTATATTTATGGGTAACATTCCAACCAAATATGCATAGAATTACATATTTTTCACTAGGATTTGGCAATCTGCCCAATTTACCCAAGAGTTAGCAAACTTAAACTCCTAGACTTTAATTTTCTTGAAATTAATTTATGGTCATATTGCCCTGTAATGTGGCATTTCTCAGTTTTGTTATATACTTTTAAATTTGCATTTAATAGTAAAAGCTCATGCCTGGAAAAAGCTTTCATAGGCTACAATTCTAATGCAATGGAAAATGCTTTATTGTATTCATTGGATTCCATGTAGAAAGCATGGACAATTGAAATGATATAAAAAATAATTCTCCAGATATTCTGGCTGGCTTCAACTGTCTGTAATAATACAAGCCAGAACAAATGCTTCTTAATTTAGCTCATCCCAGAAGTAAATAGCAATTCTTAAAGTTGCTGTTGCCAGTAATAAATTGAATAAAAAAACAGTCTCTAATCTTGTACTTTGCATGTACATTCAAGGAATGTATGTAAGCATATCTGTATCTAGTAGTCATTGATTGATTTAGACACTGAGCTCTACACTTTTAGAGAAGATGCGTGCAATTGTACATGATCAGAGACCCTAATTATTGCAGAATGTAAACAAAGAGATTTGCACTCAAACTACACATGTGCTTTGAGCAATTGCCATGACCTTATTATTTATTCAAGAAAAAAATACTTTCTAATTTAAAGATGATATATATAGCCCTGGCACATGCAATATTTTTTCATAGGAACAATCTCTTGTGAGCTAGATCCCGGTGAGAAAGAATGAATGCCCTAATACTGTTATTATCTAATAGCACCTACAGCGGTATGTAAGCAGCTTTGGCATTAAATGAGGTGAGCAAAAAATAATAATATTTCAGCTTCTGACATGAATTATCAATAAATTGTTACAGTTGGGAAGGAATTAAAAAAAACAAAAGAAGTTACAGCTGAACCAAGTAGCAGTTGTTGAGCCTTAAGATCATCTAGGCAGCATCTTGCTATCCTCAATTAGAAAGTTAAACTGGTGAGCACTAGGATGGAAAGTATTTGGGAAATCAAGATTGTACCGTAGACTGGAAAGTCAGAAGTTATTCCCGAATGCAATAGCAAACTATTTCAGTATATGCAGAATTAAATGGATATGCCCATTTAAGTCTCCAGGAATTGAGCTTGATTTGAAAGCGATGTATCATCTAAACCTTCTATGGATGTGAAGTGTGTGTGTGTGTGTGTGTGTGTGTGTGTGTGTGTCTTGGGGTTCCTTTCCAGATGGCTCTATAAATACAATGCAGTTGCATATACACAATTACTATCAATAATATATGATAGATGATAGACAATAGATAGATGATAGGAGATAGACGGATGGGTAGAGAGACAGACAGACAAATGATAGATAGATAGATAGATAGATAGATAGATAGATAGATAGATAGATAGATAGATAGATAGATAGATAGATAGATAGATAGGCAGGCGGCAGGCAGACAGACAGACAGACAGAGGCTATATCTAATGAGGTTAATATGCTCGCATCATATCATAGCAGTATTATTCCTTTTTTAAAAAAAAAGTAGGATTATAAAGCTTTTGGTCATGGACAGATCTCTAAACAGCTTTTGTATAGTATGCAGAGTGTTGACTCAGGCAGGCCCCTTAATGAAACTTCACAGAATGAAACTGCTGTGATATTCCATTCTTGCCAACATTATTCGATTAAATTAAAATCATATTAATATTTTATGGGTCCTTCCGATTATAGCAGCTTTCTTTTTTAAAGGAATCCAATACCTGCCAAGAAGCCCATTTCTACCTAACAGTGTTATTATATTTATATTTACATGTGGGCTTTCCAGAATATCTTGAATCAGATGTTTTTCTATGTAAATTAGGCTACTTTATACTGGCTAACCTGAACTGGAAAATTTTGAATTAACATTGGAAAATATTCAATCCCCTCAAGCTCTATTTTTTTAAGTAAATACACTGATAAACATTTAGTCTTCTATAATTCTTCTATAACAGCCCCTAATCATTTATGGTGAATAATTTCCAATTTTAAATATTTGACATGTACATTATTTTACCTTGCTAGAAATTAATGATTTAATTTGTATAGTTGTTAAGAATGAAAACTGAAAAAGGGCTAATTTTAAAAATGCCACATATACCTAATATTGTATTTGCAAATTGGCATTTTTTTATTATTACTAATGAATGTACAAAAAGTGGAAAAATTAAACAGAGAAAAAGTTTTCCACTCCACCTCACCAATTCAACCACATGTATCAAACATCTGAATCAAAAACAAAGGAAAATCCTTTAATTAGACTCAAATTCTCATAAATATAAATATTAGAAGTATTATTCTATGTTACAATGTCTAAAGTCATACCAACAGAAGAAATACAAGATGGTTTTATAATTTTCATTAAAGCAGAATTGGGATAAGCTTTGTTGATTTTTTTTCTTCCTTGATAGGTTCCAAGCCACAACAGAAGTTTGAAGGAAGAAAGAAACTGATTAAAAAGCAAACAAAAACATAATGTAAGAAAAAGGGGAAAAATGCAACAAGAATTTTGGCGACAAAGACTAAAACAACTTTAAGAAGAGTGGTTTGGGTTTTTTTTTTAAAAAAAAGAAGATATGAAACATTCTGCAGTTAGTAGAGGATGAATAAAAATGCTAGATATTAAATATTCCCTAAGCTTCCTTTGGCATGTATTGTAGGTATCATCCCACATTTTTGCAAATATAAAATTGTCTCAAATTCTTATATTAAATCTAAATTGAATCCAGAGAGATTAAAGTCAGGGAGATTTCATGGATATTTTACTGACACAATCCAGCAAACCTTCAAATATTAATAGTTACAAGAAGATCTTTAAATTTGTATAGTTAGACAAATGCCAAACATTTGTGGGGGGGTTTGGCTGAAATCCTTTGCATATTTTCTTTGTATTTGAAGTAATTGAATGATAAAAAATTGTAGTTATTAGCAAATCATTTCTGTATCATATCTGCAAATATGTGATGGACCTAACACGCTTTCTAATCTCTTGAGTTTTAGAAAAGGCATTTCTAAATTAATGTCTGCAAGAACAGGAAGGTAAATAGATTTCTCATTTCTTTTTTTAAAAATAATTCACATTTGAATTTTTGATCCACTTCATTCCCCCCTAGATATCTTTTTCATTATTTAATGGGGAATTTTTAATTTAAAATTTACATTGCCCTTCACTTTTTGGGCTTTCCAAAAACCAAGCTATTTCAGAACTGAAAAACAAGATACCTAGAAGTCTATGGAGATTCTCAATCTCCAGGTCATGGCTGTCCCAAAGGTGCTTTGTTTTTGCCTAAAACAAAAAACAAAGTTACAACTGAAGAAGTTTCTTGGATGAAAAGTGAAACATTTTCAAACAAAAACCAAGAAAGGGATGTTAGAGATGGCCAAATTAATTGTTTCTCATTGCAATCAGCATACACAATAACAAAGTTTCAGCTTTTTTTCCCAAGTTCCTTGTCCAATAGTTTAAAAGGAATTTCTATGGTTTCAATTTTATATTCATTTTAAGAATCTTCTGCATTAAAATAGGAATCTGGCAGGATATTGATTTTTTTTTTAATATATTCTCACTAGCTACTTTGACCTGCTGAGATAAGGATACATGTACATAATCATCACCGTCCTCATTGTTGCTGAAAATAAGAAAACCCATTTGTGATTCTCTGCTGCTCTTATTTACAGTATTATCTTAGCTAACATTTTAAAATCACTGTCAAGCTTTAGCCAATTTCTAACGTAAATGAGAAAATGTCCAGAAATAGAAAATTCCAACAACGTTTTATGCTCAGATACTTTAATTATTATATTTAGCACTCAAACCTTTACGTTTTCCTAATAGTGAACTGATGTTGGGAGTCCAAGGAGCCAGGAAGATATTAAATCTAAAATAAGCTACTACCATGTTTCCCTGAAAGTAAGACCTACCCCAAAAGTAACCTCTAGCTTGATTTTGGGGCTGGGCCTAATATAAGCCCTACCCCCAAAATAAGCCCTAGTTTTGGTGCAAGGCGCATACCTAAAATCAAACTAGGGCGGGGGGTGGAACTGCCCCACGTGCCCCGCACCCCTTTACCTTTCAGCCAGGCCTCTCACCGGCCCACTTCTTCTGCAACATCCCCAGGCCTGCATTTCTCAGTCACAGGCCTTTCCAGAAGGCCTTTGCAGCCAAGAGCCAAGCTCGGTTCTGCAAAACCTTTGCAGCCAAGAACCAAACTATGGATTGAATCCTTATCTTGATACTCAGCTGCATAGGCCTTCCAGAAAGGCCTAACTGCAAAATGCAAGCTGAAATGCAGCTGCAGAATGAAGCTGCTCCTTCAGCCCCAGAAGAAGTGGACCAGTTGGGTGGGGCTGTCATTGCCAGAAGTGAGTATAAAAGACATCCCCCCAAAATAAGACCTGGTGCCTCTTTTGGAAGCAAAACAAAATAAGACCCGGTCTTATTTTTGGGAAAACATGGTAACTATCAGGTCTAAATACATTACAGGTAATCCTTAACATACAACCACAATTAGGACTGGAATTTCATTTGTTACAGTCATAAATCAACTTGGATGCAATTTTACCATATATATTTTTTGTATCATTAAGTGAATCACATGGTTACGTGAATCCAGCTTCCCAATGGGCACTTTTTGGCAAAAAAGATTGCAATTGCAGCAATGTAAATGGCAGCCGGTTGCCAAGCCCCTGAATTGTGATCATGTGACCTTGGGGGTAGTGCAATGACCAAAAGTGCACATACAGGTCATAAGTGACTTTTTCCAAGGCTGTCATAAGAGTCGTCAATCCAGGACTATCTGTACATGTAGTTACATGGTGAAATCAATTGGAGTTATGCTAATATTATTACATTCAGAGATTTGCTTGGAAAAGTCTGCAAAATATACAAGATAGCATGATCTAATTAAATCAAAGCTTGGAAATTACTTCCTTGGGATTCATCCCATCAGCTATTAGACAATCCAATTTATCATTAATTTGGTCGCAGGATTCCAAGTCCAGCTGCCATTTGCAATTGATCGATGGTGATTTTGTCAGCGCTGACGGTGTTCAAGTGGTGCTCCAGTTGTTTTGGGATTGCACCCAAGGCACCTATTACTACCTTTAGTACTACCTTTGCTTTCTTTTGTCACGGTCATTCTATTTCTATTTGTAGGTCTTTGTATTTTACTTCCTTGGGGTTCATTCCACCAGTTATTAGACAACCCAGTTTATCACTGGTTGTCCTTTATAGTATACTAAAATTATCTATGGATTTCTTTGCATAACTTCTCCATTTCAGGTGATTTCAGTTGTCCATCTCTCACTTTACGTTTTTCCCCAATTCTCATTTTCTCAAGGAAATCATCAAAGTAAGAAGAGAAGCACCCCAAAATTAATACATATGTAGAATTAGAACCAAAATCCACATGAATCAAGAGTATCTAAAACAGAATAGCAATAGTTTCTAAAAGAAAGAAAGAAAAATTACGCAATAGCAGATCAAAACAAAACAAAAACAAGAAGTACATTGGTTTTGCGCAAGAGATAGATAGATAAATATAATAAATGTATACATTGTGTCATATGATATAATCGAAGATTCTGTTACAATTATATAATGTGTTGTAATCATTTATGAAAGTTTCATTTTTATGCACTCAATCATTTTCAAAATGAAGTCATGAGTGAGTGAATTTTAGACTTCAAAACATTAAGCAGAGAAAACTTACTTGAACATCTGTTCATGTCTGGGGCTCGAACACCATAGAACCCCGATGGGCAGGAATTCAAGCATTCCCCATATTGTCTCATTCCTTCTCTTCGTAGAAATAAGAACAACTTATGTTGACATCTGATGCATCCATTGTCCCTTGAGCAAGACAAACAGCCATTGCAAATTGGATTTGGCCCATAGTTTGCTGTGATTTTTTTTCCAGAGACAGAAAAGGGAAGGGAAGAAAAATGATAATATTAAAGCATAATATTAATCAAAGAGTAATCATACAACATCATCCTTTTTTGTTTACAACAAATAATTAAAGAAACATTGAGCAGACAGGGTTTCTTTATTATTAAATATTTTATAAAATTTCTCTCACAGTTTTAATATAACATAGAAGCAACACGTTGGAAATTGGTATTTAGGCCATTAGATCCAAGTCCCTGTTTAATTAAAGCATTTGATTGATGGAATTATTTTCTTAAAACCTTCATGCAATATACAGTAGAAATATTATTCCCATGATGTATTTGTTAAGCCTCAAATTTCATTAGCCTTTTCTGTAGCAACCTTCTTATATTCGGTTTGTGTTCAACTATTGTTCCAAGGTCTTTTTTCCAAGTACAGAAATCAGATGCAGTAGCTCCAATTCTTGCTCTGTGCATTTGATTTCCAGTTCCTTTGGACAAATAGTTGCCCTTCCCACTACTAAATTTCTTTCTCTTAAAACTTAACACAACTCTCTTGTTTTCAATTTTATTTTCATAAAATTATAAACTATCATGTTATCATCTAAACACTGGCTAACCATTTCTTCCACTTTTCATTCAAGTCATTAATAAAAATGTCCAAAAATATAGAACATTTCTATAAACCAGTCACTGTAACATTTCACATATAGCTACTAAGCCCACTTTTAACTTACTTTGCTACAATAAAAAGTTTGTGTGTGTGATGAGGTTTTATTGCAGTTGATTTATTAAATATTAAAATTAACAGTGTAAATATAGGAGGAATAAATCCAAATACAAAATTCTTCAAATGTGCTCATTAAATATAATAAAGATTACAGTTAGTAGAACCAAACACAGCTAATGAACTTTGGACTTTAGCTCCCCCCCATACACACACACACACACACACACAGACACACAAACATACATACTCCTAACGTGTGCATGTATTTTTTACAGATTTTTCCTAATCTTTTCCAGAAAGAATAAAATCTTGTCCATAACGTCAGAATGGATTCAAATTTCCCCAGTGCAACCAAAATCCATTAAATCAAAACCAATTAAATACAGACCTTTCTGTGATTTGAAGCAAATAAAAATTAAGGGCCAATCCAACCCACACCCAAATTCCTGAAACAGTCAAATGCTGGAAGTGGAGAATGGAATACTCTATTTAAATTCTTCAAATTATATAACAAGAATGTATAAAAGACAGATCAAGAATCAACTCAGTGAACTTCAAGCAATCTGGTTAGGTCTCCAATTATATTATTTAAGAAAGGAAAGAGCATCTTAACTCTTGTGACCACTATTAAACAGAGCATTGAAATGTATAATTCTTGGGAGGAAATCCTGTTAGATACATTATTTGTCAAACTTTGAACATTGCTCTTAATTATCGCTCCTTCAGGTTCAAGAGATAAGAAAGATACGACTGAAAATTATTTGAAGCTATGTTTAATCTTCTTGTTAATTTTTTAAAATGGATTGTATGCTTAACTTTGCCATCCTTTGGGCTCATTTCTAAGAAAACTAGTTACTAGTTGAAGGTCAGTTTTGATGCTCTGATTTTTTGCTCTGAAATGGGCTGGTCCTAAATTCTAAGGACTGGCCTGCCTTGAGAAAATACACTTGGTTAGGGTCAAACTGGATAAAAATTGGTTATAATCTCCCTTTTGTTGGAATGTAACACAGGAACTGCAACATCAACTCTCATAGTTTTGTCATGACCTATTTTTGCTGAATGTTTCACTATCAACTAGATTCCAAATATAAGTTTTGAATGCTTGCTGTATGCTGAAGCATATGTGTTCTTCTTGGTCATAATAACCAGCATTTGATAGCTCTTAAGATATAAATAAGAGCATAGGGTATGGGAATGGGCTAAAATATTACACTGGAAGGAGCAGTCTACACCTGAAATGCAGTACTGGATTGCTGAGCCATGTTGAAGTAATCTTTTTCCAGTGAAGAAGCAAAGACAAAGATTTTGCTCAAAGGTTTTGGAAATGTCTGTTTATAAAACATAATTTCCAGACCTTTTCTTTCTTTTATAACATAATTTGCAGACCTTTTCTTTCTTTTTTCCATGTTTTAATTGTTATATTTATCCATGTTGAGGTTGTGTTGAACCCTTCTTGCAGTTGTATTTGTACTTCTCTTTTGTTCATTAATAAAATAAAACAAACTTCTTAGACTGATGGGTTAGAAATCACATAGGTCCCACCTCTTGGAAAGGAACCAATCAGGAAACCTCAGTACATGTTTGCGACTAATGAATGAACATATCTCATAACCACACTCATGTAGACATTATACCCCAGTGAATTAATCATTCTTATAAACTTTATTATCTGATTGTGTGATCAAAAATGTTATTAATTAAACCAGCCTGCCTTTCTGTACAAGTTTATGATGATATTCTATTCTGGTTCAGTTTATCTCTTTATCAACACAGGGTCAGCTGCAACCCTCTAGTTTTATAGACGAGTCTTTCCTGCTATCACGTTTTAATGATTATACCTTTTACATGAAACCATGTGTTCTGTCGATGAATATGAAACTTTTTAAAAGGCAGCATAGCCAATTCTGGGCTGGATATTACCTTAGATGTGACCTGTTTATACATTCTAGTATCAGCCTAGAGTGCTGTCCTATCATATGCAACCTACTTACTGTTTCCTAAAGCAGGAGAAGGAAATATAGGAATAGCACTTAGACTTGTGTATCACTTCATAGCACTTTACAGCACTCTCTAAGTGGTTTACAATGTCAGCATATTGCCACTAACAATCTGGGTCCTCATTTTACTGACCTCGGAAGGATGGAAAGATGACTCAACCACAAGCTGGTTAGGATCAAACTCCTGGCTGTGGGCAGAATTGGCCTCCAATACAGCTATCACGAGTATTGGTGTATTGCAGTCACAAATGATGGAGTTTCTATTCTACAGAACAGGGAACATTCTGATTTTCTACTTCTAATGACTTATCCAAAATGAATCATTTGGAAATACATTTGCTGATTAAGGGAATGATGATTACCATGATGAATGGTATTTAAAGGTAGGCCCAAATGTACAGGGCCTAAAAACAATAACATAAAATTAATAATTAAAAAGCATCTGGCATCTCTGAGATTATCAATCAAGTGTATTGGTGATTATGCCAGTTTGGTTTTCTTTCATTTTCTCATTTTTCTGAACCTGCCAAATTTGAGTGATATGCCTTCAGTATTTTCTTTTTTTATAATCCTGCACTACAATCTGCATGTAACTTGGTGCCTAACTCTCCAAACCATTTTATCAATTTTGCCTATAAAGATATCTTTGCAAAGAAATAAGAAAAAATGAATCTATTTATACCTCGTGTTCATGAATGTTTGATTTTTTTTTCCAGGCTTTGATTCATGTTTTCCAGTGCTACTTACTAACTATATCACAAATCTGAGACAAATGCACATCATTGGTTTGTATATTTTTAATACATGTGTAAGCTAGAAAAATTTAACACTGGTTTTTCCCAAATATCTAACTAGTACTAGGTTAGGAAAGTTGTACCTTAGCATTATTAATATAATATATGTTACATATGAAAAATCTTTATGTACAAAAGTAAAGCTAAAGGTAAGATGTATTTCAGAATACTGTTCATATATTAGTTTGTGTGTCTGATGTGATGCGAGACAGAGAATTCAAGTTGTGTCTATTATAATCAGGAAACACTTGCCTCTAGTTGCCAAAGTTTTTGAATAAGCAAGACAAGGGGGCGGGGACAGATTTCTCATAAACCAGGAAATACACGTTATCCTTGATTATTAAATCAATGGAAAAAAACATGAGTTTTCTCAATAGGGTTTTCACAATCATCCTATCAAGATGCCTTCCCCATATCTTTTTTTTTTTTTGAAAAGCCAATATTTCTGCACTTCCCCCTCCTTTTTTAATTCCTTCTCGGTTCAAAGTATTTCACCAATATCAAAGACATATTGATGGAAATCACTTTGAAACACCCATCCTTTTCACTCCAAGTGTAATTATTATTGCTTTGAAGCCAAATGTTGTCAATCTATAATGTATGTGCTTTTTTCCCTTTGGAACCATCTTCCCTCTGAACTCCTTCTTACTTCTCTAGCAACAGCAGTTAAGAGTGTAAGTACAGAATGAGAGTAGTCTATAATTACTAAGAAAAAGGAAGGGGAACCCCTTGAGATGTTAACCCCTCAAAAAAGTGTCCTTGAAAACATATGCTATTTACACTTCACAGTTCACTCCAAACACTTAGGACTCAAAAGGTTCAAAATTTGAAAAACATGGGCTGTTCAGTACAGACAAGCTGTTTTCTAAGTACCTATTTCCTAAAGGAAACAAGGGTCACGTCAACCTTATTTATATTTTCCTACAAAAGGAACACTCCATAAGTCTTAAATCTCTTAAGTTTCATTGCCAGCAATTGACAAAGCAAAATTGGCCTTTTCAAAGATGTTTAAAAGTGGAGGAACGATGAAAAATCAGATAACTTCCTTCAATTAATACATCATTTTCTAAACTTTCTTTAATGCACTGACAATAATGTACAGGTAGTCCTCAACTTACAACCATTGATTTAGTGACCGTTTGAAGTTACAACAGCACTGAAAAAAGTAACTTATGACTGATTTTCACACTAACTACCATTGCAGCATCCCGTCTATCATGTGATCAAAATTTGGACACTTGGCAACTGGCAGGTATTTATCACAGTTGCACTGATGTGATGCCATTTGTAATCTTCCCAGCTGGCTTCTAACAAGCAAAGTCAAGCGGGAAACCAGATTTGCTTAGCGACCACATGATTCATTTAACAACTGCACTGATTCACTTATCATCTGTGGCA